ATGATAAATCATACAACAAAAGAGAAATATACCAAAAGAGACACAAACATTTAACGTGGTTCAGTCAACAGACCTACGTCCACGGCGGAGATGAGCAATCCACTATATAAAAGAGAGTACAAAATATCGAGAGAACAACCTCACGAAGAGACAAGTGACACACTAACACTTGTTCGTAAAGTTCTCCCCGTAAACACGACTTTCAAACCCTATATGGCTACATTGTAGATGCTACTGAATGAGGAGGACAGATCTTTAATTTATAGAACTCCAAACCTTTTCCTGCAAGAAAACGGACTAGCCAAATATGGAAGAATTATATTTTTCCTCTAGGAAAAAAAAAACAATTATGGTAAATATGTCGCCCTTTCCTTGAAGATATAGGAGAACCAAATATGGTAAAAAAAATCAGGACAACACCTAACACGAATATGCATAAGAACCATACTATCCACTTAAAAAATGGTTAACCAATGTGTGTAACTTTTACATTTGTAAAACATTAAATTGGGGGTTTTTAAGTTTGGATACTAGAATTCTCCCATAAATATTATATTTAAGAAGTCATAGATAATATGAATATCCGCCGGATAATCTATTTTTATTCGTCTCAAATGCGGGTCGGATTACATAATTTATCCGTTTTTGAATTAGCTTATTGGACTGACCCGACCCGAGCCGCCGTTTGCCGCCCCTAAATTACCTTCCTTTAAATTAAATTGCTTAATTCACCTCTTCTTCTTCTTCAGCGGCAAGCTAAACAGAGAATCAACTCCATATTTCTCACTTTAGACCAGGATGAAGATGACATGGGGCAAAAAGAAACTTAATAATAAGAGACCCATTACTCCTCTTTCCCAAAACCTCCCATTCGAAGTTGAAATTCCTACTCACGATTTCACTGTTTCTAAAAAAGAAGTTGTATCGGAGAGTAACTTAATTTCTCATACTAATGGAGATGACGATGATACAATAAAGCTTGTGGAATCCTTTCAAGAACTAGGAAATAAGCTTGCTGAGGTATTTCTTTACTTGGGTGGCCGACTTCCTTCACCTTTCTTTTTTTCTTTTTTCTTTTTTTTTTTTGGTTTATTCAGTGCCTATAGCTGAACTTGTTATCTCTATTATGTGAGCATCTTTGTTGAATACAATTATGTGTGTTGAGTTGAAAGTTGAATTTGTGGAAGAGTTGAAAATTGTTGGTTGGGATTAGATTTAGCAAATTGCTGCTGGATGATATGGTATGGTTATCAGGTGATGTTAGTCATCTATATATGTCTATTAGATTTTTAATGTTATAGATGAAGTTTATATCTAGTCTGGTATTATTCTAATGGAGTATTAGTAAAATTCCGATAGTTCTATGTTTTCGTTGTTTAACATACTTGAATATTTAAGAACTGAATAGGTATTCCCAACCTCCTTTTGATCATTTGGGCCAATTTAGATGCACCTTAACTATTCTATCATTACCTGCATCCTCTCCCACTAGTACATGTCTGCCCACCAAGGCTTAGGTAATGGAAAGAAATCTCCAAGCTTTTTGCCTCAGATGGTATCACATGGTCTTCGTTAGCTCCTCAACTGCTAAGCTACACCCTTGGGTGCATTATCATTCCCTCTCTTTATTCCCTTCTTCCCATCTTTGACTCTATTTTTTGACTCTCCCTCTTTCTCCCTTTTAGCAGTTGTAACTCTATATTTTCTTAGGAAGTCCAGGGGTAAGGCAGGGCATGTTGTTAGTTTTAAGGTTTCGTCTGATTACTGGAGATAATTGGATTGTTTGTCTATTGAACTCCTGCTGTGAACATTCCATTTTGCTGGACATTTTATAGATACGATGTAAGTCCTTGTTGAGGGGCATGCCTCGACCCTGGAGATTGATAACCTCCCATTACCTTAAAAAACCGAAGGTGATTGCATCAGTATAACGTTAAGTTTGAAGTAGTGAGTTGGAGATCAAACATTCATTCTTTCTAATAACTGTCTTGCTATGTGAAAAACAAGGCTATTTGCAGAATAGTTATATTGTGCCACTTAAAAGTGAGCTTCAACACAACAGTAAGCTTACTGTAAGAAGGTGAATAGAGTTGAATCTTGAAACTAGCAATGGTTAGTTGAGTATGAAGTGACCTGGATTTGTACTATGTTTTGTATTAACACTTAAAGGCAAGTATAAGTACAATGGAAAATCCACTGCAGAAAGCAATTATTACAGATTCTTGTGTGGAGGTAAGGTCGTACTGTACATATGCATTAACACTTATAGGTGAGGCTAAACGCAATGCTAAGTTTATTGCATGGTAGCCCTGAAGTTGAAAGGAAGTCGTAAAAATAGCCTCTGCACGGATTAAGTGGTTTCCAACACTTCATTAATTGCTGATGTAATTTCCGGCAGCATGATCCCTCAACTAGGGTTAAGCCTTTTATTCTTATTATTATTGTAATTTTTTTAAGGATGGGAAATATCGTGAAGCACTTGGGAAGTGGGAAGCTGCTATACTTTTGATGCCAGATCGTGCAATTCTGCATGAACAGAAGGCTCAAATTTTGCTTGAACTTGGAGAAACATGGAATGCGTTAAAAGCTGCTACACGTATGTTGACACTTCTTACATTATTCTCAAATGGATTCTCCTTGTTTTCCGAGCAAGTTATTCTGAGTGAGATAATGCCAATTTGTAGACATTCTTTTAATGAATTTATTTTCAGTGTTATATCTCATGAAAGGTTACTGGGCCTACTTTTAGGCTCTGAAGTTCCTTAATACCAACTTTTTGACACATCTTTAAAGTTATGGATAAATCACACAAATATATCATTTCAAATCTGATCTTAATACCAGCCAATGGGAACCTAGATCATGACCAAGTCTATCTCCTTTTATCCTTTTCATTAGCATGAGCTAATTTTCTTTTCCACATCTTTTCCTGTGTAAATCTATATCTGGCATAGTGATATTCGAAGTTGGGTTTCTAGCCTACTTGGATTGTAACTAATGCCCTTTAAGTCAGTGATCTACATTTGTATATTAAATAACTTTTGATGATATAATCTCATGACACATAAATAACCTGCTTCCTTTTTGAGCAGGTGCAACTGAGTTGGAACCACGCTGGGCTGAGGTGTGTGAAATTGTTGTCATCCGTTTTCTGCTATTGCTTCACCTTTTGCAAATATATCTGCTTAATGTAAAATCAACTCACAGTGCACTATAGTAATTGGAACCCACGCCACCTTTGCCTTTATCATATGATCCTTATGAAAAATGGAACACTGATTTTTATCTGTGCTCTGTTCAGTTTTAGTACTTCAAGACTAATTTGACAAATTTTAACTAGCTATGAGCGTCATGTGCTAGTTTTGATATACAAATGTCCCCTGAATTTCAGCTTTAGTTATTCACCCGACATGCACATTAATTTCTCGTCTGCTCTACCTCTTCCTGCATCTATCCCCTAGACTATGAGAATGTGATGCTTCTTTGTCTTCACTTGGTAATAAATTACCAAGACAAGCTACCTAATGCATGCCGAAGCAGCTTTGCACTTCTGAGTTTCCAGGTCTTCCTTGCATACATAATTAAGTTTAGAGCTCTATGGCATGATCAAGTGAAAGTCACAGGCTCCTTTTCTCTTAAATTTCTTAGATCCAAACTATTTACAGCTTTTGGAATAAGAAGCTTTGACTGAAAAGCAATTAACAGCATTCTGATTCCTAGGAAACAGTCAAGTTCAACTATCTGTAGAATGGACATTGCCTTTTATTCTAGTCGTTGTTACTAGTTCCTCTGTTTGTTGCAGGCGTGGATCACCCTTGGTAGAGCACAGCTGAATTATGGCGAACCTGACAGTGCTATCGAAAGCTTAGACAGAGCACTAGCCATCAAGGTATAGCTTAGATCTATTTTTAGCGCTCATGCCTGCTGCCTCTAGGGATCCTTTTTCACTGGAGATGTTTCTTTGAGGCTTCATGAATAAATGCATATTCTCTGCTTTATATGCAATACCCCAATGTCAAACATTTCCTTTGTATCTGGAGAACAAACTGTCTTCTGAGATTTTAGCAAGTGCCAAACTCTATTTATCACTGCAAACTTCTGTCAGATCCTAGTTCTGAAATGTTCATTGGAATATTGTGCTAAGCATGTCACTGCCTCTGTGTTTGCTGCTCACTTTTTAAGTCTACTATTTATGCACCTAAGTGAATCAGACTTGTTTTGCAGCCGGATTCTGCTGAGGTGCGTACTGACCGACAAGTGGCGTTGCATCATATTCAGAGGAGAAAACAGTTACAGACATCAGGTTTGAGCATGAACCAAAACCGTTTTACTGTAGTAGACAATTCTGAAAGCGGTTGAAGGTTTGAAAAAGTAGCGGTAAAACAACTGGAGGCTAGGGAATATGTACTGCTTCCATAATGATGGGCACTTGACCCCCACATCTGACTTCGAGTCATTGTTGCTTAAAATACTGATGCAGCAACAGAAAGAGTTGTCTATATGTGTGCTTGTCAGCAAGGAGAGAAGTCAGAAGGTTGTTTACAAAGATAAAACTTGATGCCCCACAGTGAAATGTCTACCCATAATACTGATGTAAGAGTTACTATGTAGTCTTTTGACCTCTAATCTAGAGTTACTTCATGGTTCTGTTTTTAGTAAGAGAATTCAGATTAGTAAGATCAATACTTTCTGTTGAGCAAATCAAACAACTCACATTATTACGTTTACAATTGCATCTCAAAGATCCTTGCCACTGAAGGAGTTTGCTTCAGAATGATGATGGTTGATTAACTGTACCTTTGTTCTTATTTGATAACCAACTGTACCTTTGTTCTTATTTGATAACCAACTGTACCTTTGTTCTTTTTTGTTTTACTTTGGAGTTAGTTGAAAATCAAGTGTAACGTGCATTTTTACAAAAGGCTTCAAATGAAGAACTACCTACCAATTTTAACACCTTGTGACATGTTCAGTGAAGCATCAACATAAAAAGGCCGATATATCCGCACTTTTACTTAATATATAAAAAACCAAGTTAATGCTAAGAAATTTAACTTGATACAGTCAATGCAACAATGGCTTATACAACAGATCACGGCAGATTACTTCGCTTTGATATTCGGAAAACAGGCTCTACTTATGCTCCTTTCATTTTACAACACATGGAACATCAGTTGCTGATTATCCCAGAAAGAATATGTACCAAAAATACAATCTGAAACAGTTCAGGCATGGCTGTTAGGACTATCGGTTAGACAAGAAATTCTATGCTACCAAAATCTGAAGAGTCAGGTCAAGACTTGTGTCATTGTTACAGGCCACAAAGATCCAGCAACCAGGTCATGTACCACTGACAACTACTCTGGAACAACATCCGTCGTCTACAGAGATACCGTAACTCATGCATAATCTAAGTTCTATTGGTCCTTCGATCCAAAAGCAGCTAAATCCTCCTGGTAGTTGAGAGTTTTGGCAGCATTTAGAAGCATTTCCACACCTCCAGATTTGTTTAAAGCTTCCTCATCCTTACCTTTTGGTACACCTAATCTTCCACACTGGTCAGTTCTCTTTTTCAATTCATTTTGCTTAGTTTCATATGTCCTTTTTGCTTTGCGTATACGCTGTATCTGCATGTCACATTTTCTGCAAAACCATTTCCCTCTAGGAATTGAAGTGCGTGGTGGCTGCATGCAGAAAATATGATAAGCATGATCACAGCCGTCACAAAGTACAATTTTGTCATCATCACAATCTTTAAGGCAAGCTCTACACAGACACGACGGACAGTACCAGCAGGAGCCATAAGTATCCAACTGCTTTCTAGTCAAGCACCTCTCATGGTAAAATTTGTGAGGGCAGAAGGAATGGCCACATACTTTATAGTTTCCATTACTTCCCACCTCAGTTCTACATATGTTGCAACAGGGCAGATCCTCAACTCCTTTACATAGTTTAAGTTCATCATCCACTAAACCATTTAAGCTCTCTTCCAATTCCAGAAGCATGTCTTCAGTAGTAGATTCTTCAACCCCATCTTCAATTATCACTGATCTAGAGGCGCTGAGTCTTTCGCATACTACACAGTTGTCATGCGGTGACTCAATTCCCTTTGCAGTACATTTGGCACAGTACCAACTTTTTAGTGGAATTTCTTTCACAGTAGGCTCAACACAGCAGACGTGGTAAATCTCCTCACATGAATCACAAGCTAAACTATCTCTACCATCCGCCTTCTCCCCACAACATTGGCAAGCACACCTTTTATTTACACCAGAGATCTCTGCTTGCTCCATTTTAGCAACCAACTGTCAACATCAAAAAGACAAGAAAATATAGTAACCTGAAGTTTATAATACTTTAAAACATACAAATCAATTTCAAGTTGTAGAAAGAATTAAAGATACGACTGATGCAATGCCTTGGAATTTTGGTGATTTTTCGTCAGTCAATTTATATCAAAGTTGCAGCACTGAGTCTTGACAAAACAAGAATTTTTAATTATAATTTCATATTTAAACTAAGTGAATAATTCCAAGGATGTGGACCTCAAAGGACTGAAAAGAAAAGCGAATAAGTATATATGAGCTTTTAAATTTTAACAACGGTGGTGTCCAGACCAGCTTATGCACAACTCGACTATTCCGCCGCTATCTACTATCTCCCACCAACATAAGTACCAAGCAACTCAGCACCAAGGCTTAGACACATATGGCAATGAATCACCTAGTGTTTTTTTGTCACTGCTGAGATTTGAACCCTGGTCTCCAAGGCATGCACCCAGTTCATTTTGACTACAAAACCACACCATCGGGTTCAGTGAGCATTATATTTGATTGGTACCTATATCTCCCCACAAAGGGCTTGCAACACCACTTTTAGGAGCTTCGTAACATTGTTTGCCTGAGTGGTTCCCCAAGAAATCTGGGATAATTGCAAGTACTTGGTGGCTGGCAGGTATATGCCACCAAATTTCCGAAATTGGGAGGTATTACATCGAGTGAGAAATTTTACGCTAACAGAACAATAAGGAATTAGAAATTTTCAGGTACAGTTTTCAAATGTAGTTTCTCCTCCAAGCAGCCGACTGAAGAGCAACCAAAATGACCTCTCAGAATAATCTACCACTAAAAACAGAAACACTAAAGCATGACAGTAAAGAAGACTTGCCTCATCTTTTCCATCCTCAGTAATTCCACGCGTTGAACAGCTCACCTAAAGAGGTAAGAGGTTAAAATCAGTCAGTTTTATTAGCAGTGTATGCAAAAGAAAGAAGCAACTCAATGAACCAAGAGTTAGCAAGAAATCATATACCTGAGCATGGAAAGAAGCCCTTGATATGTCTGAAAGGCTCCTTGAAAGAGAAATCATTTCACTGCCAACTTCATGAAGCTTTGTCCACATCTGCAAATAATTCAGGATAAAGATACACGAATTAGAAGGGATGACTATCTCCGGCACATAAAAGAGGACAATCCATGCAAATTCAAGTCCCACATTAGTCGTCCAAACCATCCATTGCCTAATTACATTATTGACCAGTGATCAGACGATATTTTCAGAAGTATCATCAACTATTAAGAAATGCTTCATCATCAATTTGCGGCCTCAGATGAAAGGCAGAACTACACTCTTGTAGGACCACATATTAACTGCTGAACTTTAAAATAAAAAAAGTAGCAAAAATAAAAAACCTTTAGCTGTTTCGTAGTGCCTTACAGAATTTGTAAGACCTACAAATGTAACAGATCAAGTTATATCAGTACAGATAAATCATATCCATCAGAAACTATCAAGTCATCATACAAGTTCTGCCACGGGTGCATCCATGGTGACATGCCCTCTTTTCCTAAGAATCTGCCACAGCTCCCATCATAATCATTGTTGATGTTGGCTCAATTAACTACTAATCAATTTTATCATCACCAACCAAGAATTTGCTATAGCACCCAATATCATCAACATTATATCGAAACTGATTTATGAAATTAGCATGGTATATCCACAAAGGATAAGTCCTGCCAACTAAGAGTATCACATACCCATAAATATATCAGTACTGATATGCCAACACAAATTATGGATTCACTAATATAGTTTTAGCACCTGTGTATCAAAAGCAGTATATTCTTACCAACAAGATTGCTGAGCTACCAAAATATCAGTGCAAATACATCATTAGAGCAATATTGACTATGAATTACCCTGACCAAATATCACAGCTCCAAGATAAAGCTACTGATCCAACAATACAAACTATGAATCAAATAATCTAATTTTAGCAAGGGCATTCCGCATTCCAACAGTGACATATCTTCACCAACTAAGAAATTCGCAAACCGTTGAATGTGTGATTTTATGTGGGCTGATTTGCTGAAGGTATCTATTACAAAAGCATCATATTGACAGTACTTCATCATATGGCTGAATTAGAAGGTTCCTACTGGTAAACCTCGAGTAGAACTTCTGCAGGATCGGGTATCTCCACAACAAAAAGCCGACCCTAAGGTATTATATAATATACTACCTCTAAAAGATTAACCAATTCAGAAGTGCAACAAAATTTAACTAGACATAACCCCAAATCCCAGAGTCTGACAACTATCACAATGGCAGAGCAAAGCCTATAAAACTGTCTAGGCTTTGTGGTATAACTACAGTTCTGGTATAAAGATAAATTGTACAAAGAATCCAAAATAGGATTGTGGTTCATATAATTGTCTTAAATCTGGTTGTGGCGCTCATGGTTTAGTTAAAATGATAATATTGTATACTGACTAAGAAGCATTAGTCAAAAGCAGGGAGCTAAAACTATTACGGGTGAACGAGTAAGTAGTAACCAGTACACGTAAGACAGTCCCTTCATGAATGAAGTGTTCTAAAATGATTCCTGATTAACTTCAACATTTGCTTATTATTTCCTTTTGCAGTTGGCTTCGGCGCAAGTTCCACTTTCTAGGTTTATCCAATGTTGGGCAACTATGTTATGTTGCCCATGCTTCCAATATGACCACTCCTGGTTGTGCAGGTGGGTTGGGGGAGGGGAGACGGTGTTAAGTGTCCCATATTGGTTGAGATGTCTCCTATATTGTCTTGGACAATTCTCAAGCTATGAACAAGCTTTTGGCATTTTATTAGGGCCAAAATCTATCATCTTCACGTACTAAATATAATGCAGGTACAAGCAGCACTGCAATGATATTGAACTATACAGGATTTCATGCAATGAATCTCTCTTTTATCAATCTTTTCAAGTAATTTGAAGGAAGTAAGAACTGTAGAAGGAACGAAATGGAGCTGAGCTACTACACCCAATTCATTGGCAAATGAAAATTTTGCCTTTTTATAACTCGGAAAATAACCTAGAAAAGAGAAAGAATCGCTAAGACAAGAGAGCTAAAGGTACTCAAGCAAAAAGGATAGGTGAAACTACCAAGACCCAGATTTTTCCGTATTATAAAGATACCGTAAAAAAAAAAAGATCCAGTACAACTAGAAGTCGATCTGGCACCTCCCTCGGGGTACTCGAACCCATCAGATCCGAGTTTAACTCCTTTATAAAAAGGCAAAGTTCCCGTTCACCAAAAACTCAGTCTTGAATAGCCATAAGCCATTACACTAGTACATACATTAACGAAAATACCCTACTTTCACACTTTCCATCTGTTATCATTAAAAATCATACAATAATCTACTTAAATATAAGTATGTAGACAATCAACACAGGTCAAGATGTCATGTAAATTAAGACGGGGAGACACACTAGGACCCCTTCCCTTATTAGTTGAGCAGCAGTAAGACAGCTTAGTTTCCTAGATTAGAGAACTGCAAAATCTTCTCTTGTCAAGAATGTTCAAGTCCTCTTTCCTCGTAAAAACTGTCTCCTCAGCCGACGAAGACCCAATTCCCGAAACAAGACATGATTTAACTGCTAAAATCAAACATAGCTTTCATCACTCACATGTATTATTCAGCAATCCAAATATACACATAATCTAAAGCTCTTTCCCTCCTTATTACATTGAACTTTAGACCATTTTACTAATCGTAGGGTCCCATTTAAATCAAGTTACAACTCATTTCACTGAAAGCATTGACAGTATTTTCACAGACAAAAACCAAAGCTGTTGACCAAGTATGCAACCATAAAGCACCTGTTTTAGACAACCAAAATAGCATGCAATCATGCAATACTCTAACGATGATACATAGCAATTACTAAGCAAAGAACCTAACAGATCAAAACCGGAAAACTTAGTTGAACCTTCTACAGTTAGTATGGAATAATCCAAATATCCCCAATCTCCCATGCCAGAAAATATCAATCATTACTTTCAGGAGAAGACACTCCCATACATCATCAATCTTACCAAAACAAAGAACTCACACCTTGTGAATTTATCCTTCAGAGATGTTTATGTTGCACCTAGTAGAGAATTTCACACCAAAGACAAATCATTCCAAGAGATACAAAAAGCACTTTCTGATAAAGAGTGCCATATTGATCAGAACGAAATGCAGATGCAAGTTTTATATAACAGTGAGCAGGAGGTTACTAGGATTTGTAATGAAAACGGTCTTCTTGGGTTCAAGAGGGATATTTAATAAGGTATCCCAGTAATTAAGATTTATCATTAGGTAAAGCTACTCAATCTCAATTCAGTACTGATACTTCGGCAGCTTTTTACAACTTCACTTTATGGCTCAGTAGGAGGAGAAATTTATTTTGGTGTGAGACACAAGTATTATTAGTTGTGTGAGGTTCTCATTTCATGAGAAGTGTAAACTGTAGGACCATAAATTCCTTATCACTTGCTCTTTCACTTTCTCCTTCTCTCCTTAGCCTTGGCCGCTCAAGTTATCCCCTCTCCACAGCTCACACTCCTGGACAGCCCCTCCCTTCCGTTATTCTATCTTTTCTCTCTCTTCATTCATCAGAACAAGCCCTAAATCGCAATCCAACCCCAGCCCCAAGTTCACAGTAGAAATGGGGATGCGACTGTTTAATCCACAACTCTATCATCATATTTTCTCCCTTCCTCTCTCTATTTTGATTTGGGTTAATGAAATGTTAAAACATTTAGAAAATACAAGCATTTGCAAGGAGTTGAAAATATTGATAGTGAAAATGGAAAAAAGATTGGGAGAGTAAACAGAGAGTGGTATAAGTAAAAACATTGGAAACAAATTGGACATTGGCGGAATTGAGAAGGTGGGTTGCGAACGAGGAACATCTTGAAGAGAGACTTTTTCTCTTTTCTGAAACAGCAGACGTAACAATAAAGGAAGACTACTCGGAATCTAAAAATTACAATTTGCTTTCAATATCTTTGAGTAAGACTATATCTGTTCTACTACCAAAAATACATTCAAGACAGGTAATACCATAATAGGAGAAGTTTCTGCAATCCCCATTTGGGATACAACAACAACAACCCAGTGTGATCCTACAAGTGGGGTCTGGAGAGGGTAGTGTGTACGCACACCTTACCCCTACTCCGGAGAAGTAGAGAGGTTGTTTCCGATAGACCCTCAGGTCAAGAAGGTGAAAAGAGACAGTGGAGCAGTAATAGCAGAGGAAGCAAGAAAGATAACATCAACAACGTAACAACCTGAAAATAGAGGGAAAAGCAATAACAATAAGCAGTAACAATGTCACATTACTACAAACACAATGGAGTAATATGGATACAACAAGAGCCACTAGTATCCTAAGACACTACACTATCGGACTAGCCTCCTACGACCCAACCTGCAGTCCTAAAGAAGTAATATGGACACAATTGAAGCCACTCGCAGCCTAAGACAAAACACAGGCTAGCCTCCTACCTCCTAACCTACAACCTTAATGCTCGCCCTCTACAACTTCCAATCAAGGGCCATGTCCTCGGAAATCTAAAGCTGCACCAGATCCTGCCTGATCACCTCTCCCCAATATTTCTTTGGCCGCCCTCTACCTTTTCTCACACCCGTCAAGGCCAGCCGTTCACACCTCCTAACCGGGGCATCCATGCTTCTCCTCCGCACGTGCCCGAACCATCTAAGCCTAGCTTCCCGCATCTTGTCTTCTATGGGAGCCACGTCCACCTTCACCCGGAAAGGAACCGCAGATGCGGTTGCGCAGATGCGGAGGAAAAGGTCGCAGGTGCGGAAATGGTCTTGGAAAGGAAGAACCGCAGATGCGGAGGGGAATCCGCATCTGCGGCTTCGCAGATGCGGGGATGAGGTCGCAGAAGCGGACAGTGGGGACTTTAGGAATTTCCGCAGAAGCGGAAGAAGGCCGCAGGAGCGGAAGTCGCAGAAGCGACAACTGGACCGTAGATGCGGAAACAACTGATCAGAAGGGGTTTTTATTTCCTTCGCGAAATTTGAAAGAGTTCATATTTTTCACTTCGGACTTGGAGAGCTTTTGGGCGATTTTGAAGAGGAATTCAAGAACTTCGATCAGGTAAGAATTCTTGGACTTAGAACACGATTTTATGATGCAAATACATGAAAGTAGACTGAAAAATCAAGGAATTAAAGGTCAAAAATGGAGGTTAGGGCTTGAAACCTAAGAGAACAAAAATGGGAATTTGAGGGGTCATTTGGACTCCGATTTTGGTGTTCTTTATATGTATAGACTCGTGGCGAAATAAGGAATCCGTTGATGGTAAATTTACTGATTTTCGAGAAGTGGGCCCGGGGCTCGGGTTTTTGCTAATTTCGGGAATTTAACTATTTTTCGATTGTTTTCGATTGGGTATTGTCCCATTAGCATATTGTGACGTATTCGTTGTGGTTTTGGTCAGATTCGACGCACGAGGAGGTTAATTCGAAAAGCAAGGGCATAGCAAGCTAGGACTTTGGCCAGCTTGAGGTTAGTAATAAATGTAAATGCTGTGTTGAGGGTTTGAAACCCCGAATTTGCACAACGTAGTGCTATGTGAGGTGACTTGCACGCCGGATAACGGGCGTGGGGTAGAGCACCGTCGGGGACTGTGACTTGGTCCGTCCCGCTTAATAAAATTACTACCTAATTGGTTGTAGTTTTGTGATATCCTTATAAAAATGGATTAATTGTCATAATTGGGCTTCGTGCCAACTACTTGAATCCTTCAGGGATTATTTTACTGGCTTCTTACCATATTTTTAGATATTGAACTCAGTCCTGGTATTTAACACTGTTTTGTAAACTCAGCCATTTCTTTTTCTCAAAACTTGGAAACTTAAATAATATTTTTAAATGAAGTCTGGGCTGAATATTTTTTTGTATTATTGTGCCGAAAGGCTTATGTGATTTTGGACTGAGTATGGGATCGGGCTGCACGCCGCAGCGGTATGATATTGATCTTGATATGAGGCCGAGAGCCTGCTTGATGCCACGATATGGCTTATTATTGCGCTTGGGCCGTAAGGGGCCCCTCCCGGAGTCTGCACACCCCCAGTGAGCGCCGTCGACGATAAATAAATGGAGCGGGCTGCGCGCCGCAACGGGTACTGAAGGGTACCGGTTTATGTGTTGCATTGCATATTTAATTGTCATTTATCCTTAATCTGTTGTGATATTATTATAATTGTCTTCACTGTTTTACTGTATTATGCTATTGGTTCATGTTGCTGTATTTATAGCTTTACTTTGCGCCTATTTAGGATTTCTTATTCTCATACTGTATTTATGTTTATTACTTTCTGGGTTGGAAGTACTCACATTACTCCCTGCACCTTGTGTGCAGATTCAGGCGCACCCACTGAGGCTGAGTGAGATCTTTCTCTGCCTAGCATCATATTCGGGAGATTCAAGGTAGCTGCAAAGTGGCGTTCGCAGTCCTGATCTTCTTTCTATTTTATTTATTTGTTTTCCACATTTCTAGAGAAACATTATGTAGTAGGTTAATACTCATGCATTAGAGGCTCAGACTTGTGACACCAGATTCTATGGGCTGAGTAGTATTTCATGTTTTTGGGGTTTCCGAATGTTAGAATTTATTTCAGGATTTCCGCATTTAACTTGGTATTTTAGTTGTGAAAATTTACTTATCCACTGTGATTAATCGGTTAAGGTTGTCTAAATGGTCGGGCTTGCCTAGCAGTGTGTTGGGCGCCATCACGACCGGGGTTGGGTCGTGACATAACCCAACCAACTACCATACCAAGAAGTAAAAACATAACAAATTCGCTCCTTTTCATAATGTAACATGATTCATAAAACTCAACAGATGCACAAGCTAAAGCAGATACGGAATAAATGCATCTTAAAGCTTAAGACCAGGCTCTGTGTTCATCTTATCAGACGCAGAAAATAAGAAATTATGCAGAGGATGAAAGATGCATTAAGTATATTACAGGAAAATCATATTTCAGGAACTTGATACATTCTTGCTAGATTGTTAGCTAAATCCAAGCATGACTATTTTCCTGAATTCAAAGCGCAAATAGAAGATACAAAGTAGTACCTGTTGAATATCTGATTGAAAAAGGAGGGATGAGCCCTCATAAGATCCATCTTTCATCCTTGAGTGAATATGACTGACATCAAAAAATTTGTCAACCTTCATTCCTTCAAAATTTTTAAAAAGCACATCACATAGTTGAGCAAATTTTTCTGATTTAACAATATCAAGAAACATCTGCTGACAGAGCTCTGTCACTGTGTATCTTTTTGGCTCATCCACTGATCCATTAGACAGGACCATTGTTCCATTTTGAGATACAAAATTTGATGGCAGAGAATGTCTGTTCCCATAATCACAACACTTTCCAGATTCCTGAAGAAACAAGCAACTAGCTATCAAAGAACAGTTAACAACGAAGAAAACAATGATTCGCTATTGCATATTAGGTTATCCAGCTATGTGCAAAAGCAATACCTTAGTTTCAACAGCACAACCGGCTTCTGCATGTGATGCAAGTGCCTCTTGAATACACTCTTTTAAACCACCATCACTCTCTAGTGATTGAAACATCTGCTTCAGAACAGCACCCTTCCAATTTCTAACAGGCTGATAACTGAAATCATTCAGAAGACCATGTGGTCTCAAATGAGCTACACTAGCTTGTGTGCAGGAACTTTTGTTAAGAGCTGTATCTAGTGGTTCATTCATTGACTGCATAAGATCAAGCAAACCAGTTGTAGTAACAAAGAACAAGAAAAATATAGTGCAAAAGGAAAAGGAAAAACGGGAAAGAGGAATAAACAAGAAGAGAACCCAAGTACTTAAAGGACAGGATTTCTTAATAGGAAGTGCATCACTTAAGAGTAACTGCAAAGTTGTCAAGGGCGCAATTTAAGCCTTGAAGCAAGGCGTACAGGCAGCAAAATACTGAGGCCATCTAAGCAAAAACCACCAAACCAATAGCTTTTTTTCGAAAAGTCAGGATAATTCACTAGGCTCATGAGCGCTCTTCAAAAGAAAGAGGTTAAATAGTACATATAAAGATAATTGTCAAAAAAAACACTAGGTGAATACTTTATAATGGGAAATCAGAATTTTGGAGTAAGAAAACTTGAAATTGCATCTTTGCCTCTGAACCAAACTTTGATATGGTGTTTCAACTTGATTAACATGGTTTTTGCTTCATAAATCCACTTAAATCACAATTTATTAATTTCACTATCAATATAATCATAGTTGTATATATAGGTGTTTTTTCTTGTGTCATATATTCTTTTATCTTTTCTTGATTCACATCTCAGCAGTAATACCGTGCTTCGATTGAGCTTTGCACTTGAAACGGCAATAGACCTTGGCCTTTTCTATTCTTTTCGCCTTTGACAATGCTGAGCAGTTGATCCTTCGGTGGAGCATATCACTTGAAACCAGGGTGGAGCACTAGACACCTAATAGCTCTTGCAGCTACCCAAGAGAAATGCATTTTGTACATCACTGCTAACCCAACTGGCACATCAGCGTGCATTTTCTACTACATATAACATTTCTTTCAAATAAAGTGTGTGTCGACACAAATTTCTATTAGACAGACAGCGTGGCTCACACTACTCCATTCTAAAATTTTATCATATGATTTCATACACAACATCTTTATGCGTCGAGATTGTAGAAAGCATGAAGAAAAAGTGATGTTTGATACAAAAGGACAAATTGGAAACAAGAAGAAAGCAAACTCTAAAGAATCAGAAGAAAAACAAGCCAAAAGACGCACATGAGGCATTCAAAAAGGAACATCGAGGTCCACAAATCGCAAAGGTGGCATAAGGAAATGTAACAAATAGAAAATATAAAGTCATCTAAAGAGTTCATGTAAAAGATAACCAGACCTTGTAAGTATTATGACAAGCCGGAACCTTGCCCTCTTCTACTACTTTGGTACGCTTCCGCCTCTTGTAAGTCCGGCAAACATCACCTGATGACCCTGAAGGGTTCATATCAGCATTCTCGACATTAACTGGGTGGCCCTTCAATTTCCTTACAGTTAGAGCATTTTCAGCCAATAAATCCAGCACAACACTATCACCACCACTATTTCCTACATCTTCACCAACCATTTCTTCCTCCTTGGCCCTAATTCCAAATACAGCAAAGAGAATTAAATTTCATCTGCAAAAACCCCACTTTGCACCATCAGATATTTACAATTTCTCTGTCAATCAACAAAACACGACTCATTTAACTATGATGAGAATAAGTTTCTCTTTCTTTAAAAAACACAAAATACTCAAACAACTCAAAATACTCCAAAAGAGGAGGTATTTCTGCCTCTTTGACCAATCAACCAAAACCCTAATTCCAAAATCTTTAGAGCAGAAAGAACCAAAACTTCCACTGCAAAAACCCCAATTTCTCTGTCAATTCAACAAAACACAACCCATTTCACTATTTTGACAATAAATTAACCTCTTTCTTTAAACAACTCAAAATACTCAAAAAAGATAATTATTCTCAAAACCCAACATCAACAGAACTCTCAATAGCAGAGAAAGTAACAACTATGTCCAAAGAAAATCACATTTTCACTTCATCAACCTCCTCAGTAAATCAAGAAAAAACCCTAAATCCCTAAATCTCTACAGCAATAGAAAACTAAAATTCCACAAGAAAATAACCCAATATTCACACTAAATAAACAACCTAATTTATCTGTCCAGGCAACAAATAACACCATTTCACAATTCCAACACTAAAATAAACCCCTTAATCTAAACAACACTTTAAAGAACTGCAACATTTCAGTAAGAAATAAGACTTTAAGAAACTAATTAACTTATAAAGAATACATTCAAAGAAATTAAACAAAGTAGTAATCATAAATAGTGCAAATTTTAACTTCACCTGAGTAAATGTATAGAGGTTTTTGAGTCTGAAAAAATGGAGAGAGAGAGAGAGAGAGAGCGAGCTGTGTCTTATCCGAGAGGGTTAATTTAAATTTTGAAAACTTAGAGGGCTTTTTCCGCTTTTTGCGTTAACTAGAAAGAAGCTTTTTTCCTTTTTTTGTTTATTTGACATGTTGACTAGAAATTGACGGTACGGTTATTGTCTGCGTTTAGGACGGACCGGCTAATGTCCGTATCCGGTAGAAAATTCTCTACGGACACCGCTCATATTGTGGATTTGGGCTAACTTCATCAACACTATTATTGTTTGACCAAAAAATATAAATTTTCGGTTAAAATATTATATTTTTTATAATGAGGGCTTAAACTTAGTTAATGGTAATATCTCTAGATATAGAACTTGACAGCATGGATAACACACGAGAAAGTCAGTGGGAGATTGAAAGTAATGCACATTTAATATTCCCAAAGATGTGGGCAATAATGGTGGAATAACTAACGATAAATAACAATAAGTGACATTTATGTAAATAGGGAGAATGATTCACCCAATAATGAATGAGATAGATGATTGTTCCTCCTAACAATGATGAATGACACACAAATCCTAGAATGTTTGAACTATTCTCGAATCTGATGGAAGAGCATGGAATAATGTGTGTAAGAATTTAGATGAAAAGGTAAAGTTTGTATCTTTGTTAGATAAAAAGAATCTTCTTTTAGAAAGTGTTCTTATCAAGTGAATATTGCCTCTCTTACACCACTGTCTCATTTTCTATTTATATGAGACATGTCCTTAACAAACCATAATAGTACAAGTGCCGAGAATATTCAGTAGAATATTCTCTTTAATATCCTATTACAAAAACTAGTCGTTATTATTCTGTCTTTGGTGCTCGACCTCGGTTGTTATTGACTACCCGGCCGCGAATCTCACTGCTTCTTGGTCGACCTCGACTGACCCTTACCTTAATGACGTTTTACGCTAAATTTCCTTAGGGCGGATTTTGGTTTATACAGTTAGTCTCTCCGTTTAATAAGGTCGACCCTAGACGCCTTGATGAGCAAACCTTGTTTGTCGTGGTTGGGAAGTTTGGACGAGCAGGTCGAGTAGTGGCGTTTCAGACGAGGTGACAACCTGACCATTCGTGAGCCGCAACCTTTGGGGTCATATCGATTCAGAGTGATGTCATGGCATCATGCGTCTTTATTACGTGTTTTCTCGACCCCTTGCGTCGTTTCCCGTGCCTCTGCCCTTCCGATACCTGCGCTGGGTGATGACGGTTTGATTTCTCGATCCTGATGCTTGTACTCTTATAAATAGGGATATGAAACCATTCGTTTATGTTTTCTGATCTCAATATCGAATCTATGTATTTTCTTCTCCATTCTTCATATAGAGTTCTTGTTCTCTTTGCTTCACTATTGTGTATCTGCTTTCCTTGGTTCCGGTGATACCAACTGCTCACAACCCTTATGCACTTACAACATCCTCTCTAAAAAAATGGTTAACGTATCCTCTGGTTCTGGCATGGCAATTGACCCTATCCCTTTGGCGGTGCGTATGCCTCATTATAATGATAGTGTTTCTGTTGCTATTGAAGACGATAATCTTCCTACGGTGGAGGAGATAATCCCTCGTAGTGAAAAGGTTAGGTCCGACTTTTCGAAGGCTCATGAGGACGACCCTGAGATCTTGGAAATCAGCGATGAAGGGGGTTGATCTCGCTGAATTTAGGGCAAAGTTCAAAATTCATGCCCATATCGATCTAATCCCAGCAGAGCACAATGTGGTACAAATACACCATCCCGGGTATTGCGCTTTCTGCGCGTACCCTTTCTACATCGGTTATTCCTTTCCTATACTTCCATTAGCGGAGGAATTATGCAGCTATTATGGCTTTTGCCCGGCCCAACTTTCTCCATACATCTACAAGCTTATCCGCATGCTCACGAAATATGCGGAATTGGCTGGGGTCGGGATGTCACTTCGCCACCTAATACATCTCTTCGCCCCTAGTTTCCATAGGGGGGCGATGTTGCACCTTCGCCATCGAGAAAGTAAATGTTTGGTGGTGAAAATAGACGATAAGGCAAATCATTAGTTTTGGCTCAACTATTTTTTTGTCAAAACCGAGGACGTGGTGGCTAACGCGAGTGGGTTCTCTAAGGCTTGGAATTATGCCCGTAAGTATCTCTTTCTTTTTTCCTTTTCAAGCGTTTGTTTTGCCAGTTTTAACTGTGTTTTGACATTCCGTTCCTTTTTCGTGCAGCCAAGACTGTGCCGCCTCCTTTGGTCGGGGACATTTATGACTGGGTTAGCCCGGTTCTATGTGAGCACAATGGGGTTTCGTGAATGGCTGGACTTTCTTAAAAAATTTGGGCCTGCGTCTTCTGCGATCGGTAAGTTCATTTGTTTTTACCTAATACTGTTTTTAGCGCGTGGCCGCTTTCTCGTTATAGTATTGTATAGGTAGTGAATCTTTTAATCTTCCTTTCTCACACCGAGGACCTTCAAGAAGACCGAGGGCTCCCCCCTGCATTTCGTAAGAGGAAGACTGTTTCTTTGGAGTCAGCTCCAGTTGTGACTGTGGCCAGGCCTACCCGATTTGCTTCTATTCCTTCTTCTGCCACGGCAAGGTCTGCTCGGTCGTCGACTACATCTGCAGTAGCACTTCCGACTTCCTCATTGCGTCATTTAATAGACGAAGAAGAGGATCATCGCCGAGCGATGAGGGTTTGATTTCCCGTAAAAGAAGATCGGTGGACGTCGGTGATGGGACTGTCTGAGCCATAGATTCGGTACGGGGTGATCATGAAACGGTGGCCGTAGTGCTTGATGATGACGAGTTGTCATCTGAGATCCCGCCATCAACTGAGGCCGTGGAGGGCATTTTCTTTCACGATGTTGAGTCTGGAGCTGGGGGGCCATCTATGAGAGTTTTGGATCCTTTACGGCGAGATGAGCCCTCGTTCTCGCGACTGGCTGATGCTCCTGCTCCGTCAGCCGATGGGAGAGGTAATGGTGTCACCGAGGATGGTTATGAAACGGGCTCCGACATCGATGCAGACGAGGTGAGGATGATGAGGGAGCGGCTTACCACTTTACCCATCTTGAGGTGAGATTGGAGGGGTCCACGTGGACCATGGCGATCCCCATGGACCGAGACTTATTGGTGAACATGGGAAATGTGGTCCCTTCTCTGGTCTCATCTGCTCTAACGTGGAGGGTAAAACTCTTGAAAAACTAGATGACGCTACCATATCAAGGAGTATAGCCGGCCTCGCACTCAGGGTAGTTCTTATACTTTACCGGTTATTCTTTCTTCTTGTTTGACTAACGTTTCAGGTAGATTCTACATTGGCGGTGCTATAAAAGAGGAAGAAGGCTATTGGATGGACATTGGCGGATATTCAGGGGATAAGCCCCGCTTTTTGCATGCACAAGATTAACATGGAGGAAGATGCCAAACCATCTATAGAACATCAAAGGAGACTCACTGAAGCCATGCAAGAGGTTGTCAACACGTTAAGGTTCGCCGGTGTCATGGTTTCCTTTGGTTTGCCTTCGGGCAGGATGTTGTGAAATAGTGCCTAAGAAGCGGTTGTCAGATATGGCAGGTATATGTTGGCTTGAGAATCGAATCGGCATTTCTAATGTTGTTGTCTCTGGAAAGATGATCTTTGAGGGGGCTTAGAGTTGGTAGTAATTTATCAGATCAGGTGCTACAGTGATGGATTTTGCTTTGAGGCAGTATTTGGCAGTAAAAGATGAGGAAGGGCATGGCGGAAGGTGTCTCGCGGTGATTGAATTGCTAGTAGATCAAGTATGGAAAGCACAGGTCAAGAAGTTGCTTAAAGGAGAGAGTTTAACCAAAGTGGGAGAGTGGCAGAGTAGCATATGGGTTCTGTGGTAGGATAGCTACACGCCTTGAGGAAAATTTAGAGCAATTTGGGAATTCATGGTGGACAGTGACTAGGTCCACGGAATTTATTTTGATACAACATGACTTCGAGCTTAGAATGTATTGTTGGACTTTTAGTTGATGTCAATGGGGAAGAAGGAATCTTGGTGGGCTCCAGGGTTATGTAATTGCAGTTTCAAGCTAAGTGGGGGAGCCCCACCGTCTACGGTTGGATTGCGTGGTTGTCTACTTGTGAGGTTTCAGGTTATCGGCGTATTGGTGGGTTATTACGACCAAGGAAAGAATATATCAATGGTAATTCGAGCAAAGGATTTTGAGGAATGCGTGCTATATTTGGCCTTATCGGTTCATGTTCAAGTTTTAGGAAGACTCAGAGTTTATCCTTCGTGTGGATGTGGTGTACAAGGAGCCGATTGCTTCTTTGAGAAGGTATTCATGTACTAGCAAAGCCTTGGAGTTAATTATATTCGGTACCAAGCCTGAGTGGGTGACTCTCAACAACGGTCCTAGTGGGTTCAAAATTGAAGTCTGGTGCTTAAGGATTTCGAGTCTGTGGTACAGTCAAGTATCGAGCTTTTGCGATGGATTATGAAAGGACTTGGAGTGTTCTATGGTATCATTGGTGCGCTCTGTAGCATTTGAGGAATAGGAGAAAATAACTTTGGATTCATAGAGGAATTTTCAGAGTGGGTGTACCAGTTGAAGATGCAAATGTGTGCACAAGGAGGTTATGAGATGGTTCGTGGGTTTTGAGACAACGGGGTCTCGTGAAATAGGGTCACTCAGGATGAGTGCAGATTGGGTTTGTTATATTTTTTATTGAGTTATTATTATTTCTAAGGCAAGTCCAGAGTAAATTAGAAGAAGTCGGATCGGTTACCAATGGTTGAATCGGCATGATGGTGGCAATGATCAATTCTTTCAGCATGTTAAGTTTTATAGGTGATTGTGGCGGTACGTGCGAGGCTTGATGGCCGCCGTAACTGATTTTATTTGGAGGCATTCGAGTATTATGTCCTATTATGTGTAGATGGATCTTGGAAGAGTTATGGTGGTTTAGACCACAACTTGAGGATTGTATTTTCTGGGGTTATGGGAATTCGATTGCGTGTTGCAATGGTTTTCCAGAAATGAGCTAAGTGAAAGGTTTCTAGGTGATGAAGTGTTTATTCTATTAGTGGTTCA